GTGCGTCGTGGTGTCCGACTCGGGGAAGCACGCCTTCAGGTACGTGGTGCTCAGCGACCGGCTCATCTACCTGACCGAGAACCCGCCCAAGTCCGTCCGGCGGGTCGTGGCGCTGCGGGACGTCGTGGCCATCGACCTGGTGAGGAGCGCGGGCGGGCAGGCGGGCTCGCGAGAGCCCCTTCTTGGGCCCCCATCCCAGCCCTTCTGCATGCGGGGGGGAGGAGGAGGAGGAGGAGAGGAGGAGAGAGGGGTGGCGGACCTTCCCCATCCCGCCCTGGACTCTCGCGCTCTAACTTACTTGGGTACTAGCAGCCACAGAGGAAAGCTGTGGATTGCTGTATGCACCCGAATAAAGATGCCTCTCCCGTTCTGTGTACCGGTCATCCCCCGAACCCCAAAATAGGACTACAGATTTAAGAACATAGCCCCCTATCAAAAGTGTGCTTTAAGGTCATTCCTTCGTTTATTAAGCACCCGGCCTATGCCGGGCGCTGTGCTAGACCCTGAGGATGCAAAAATGAACTAGGGCCCCTTCCTAGAAGCTGCTGTGGGAGAGACAGAAAGCTACCACCAATGCGAATAAATGCCATGCGATGAGTGCTATTATGCCTTGTTTACCTTTTTATCTCCAGCTCTTAGAGCATGTTAGGTGCTCAATAAAGCATTTATGCTTTATTCATGCATAAATGAATGAATGAATGTATGCGTGCATTAATGAGATGTGCACAGGATGCCTGGCCATCTCAAGCGGGTCCCTTGATCCAAGCGGGGCTCAGGCTACGCTGGGAAAACTTCCTGGAAGGAGTCATCAGAGCGGAGCCTTGAAGGCGATACAATCTGGCGCAGCCCCGCCAAGGCCCAGTTTTTGGTCCTGCTACTGTATCCCTTTCCTCCAGGAATAGATTCACTTTATAACCCAGCAACAGAGTGGAAGCTGTCTCCTCTCCAATTACTTTTCTTTCCCCCTTGGCTCCCTTTGTCTGAGCTGCTCTCCAGGTGTGTGCTTCCTTTTTCCATTGGGGACAGGTGTCTCGCCTCATTTTTCTTTCCCTCACCCGAGTCTTTGCATCCCCTAGGGAGAGGTTGGCGAGACTCTTGATGGGGCTGTTTTGCCAAGAGAATCATGGCTTGTTTGGAACACGTCTGTAAGAAAAGAAGAAAATTAAATGAAGAAATAAATGCTTCTTTCCTACTTAAAATACTGCTGTGGGCTAATATCACTGCAAATTTATTTGCTGCTTTTTTGGAGTAAAAGTTGGAAGTAAAACTGCCTTTTCCTCCTTGTCACTATTTGCATTCTCTTGAACTAAAATGTAAAAATTTTTAAATTTCTGACCAAATTTTTTTTTATTGTGAAATTTTTGTTGTACATTATTGTTTATCAGTCACCATATAAGTGCATCCCTCCACCCCTTTTGCCCAACCCCCACCCAGCTAGCTCCTGGTAACCACCAAACAGTTCTGTCTGTCCGTGTATTAGTTTATCTTCCACATATGAGTGAAATCATGCACTGTTTGTCTTTCTCTTTCTGGCTTATTTC